AAAGTAGCATTGACTTGTCATTGAAAAGCGATGGCATCGAGATCCTATGTGATGGCGGAGAAGGCCAAAATGTTTAGAAGAACAAACAAAAAAAAAAAAAAAAAGAGGAAATGATCACATGAGATGCACATGAGTGGTAAGACTAAAAATTGATAACACGTGATGGGAGAGAAATTGATGGGCTGTGTGGGAGGAGTACGAGCTACAAAGTAGCAGCAACTAGAAAGGTGAGGTTTGCGAAAGGCTCGCAATTAATTGTGTTTCCTCCTTGTTAGGGACACAAGCACGAGTGTGTTGGCAGTCCCCTTGGTCACATGCGTTTCCCCCCTCCGTCAGCGACATGACACGTGGCGCAGTACATTATATTATTTAGGAAAGAGATTTCTATTACAGGCAAACCTAATTTAACACCCGTGCTTTTGTCGGCCCAGCTCCTCAGACCTTATTACACCCGGGTCACCCTCCTCGTTTCTGTCTAAACCCAGCCGTCATCTCTTACAATTTATTCCTACTCCTATTAAGTTATTGCTGTCTACACACCAGTTTTCGGCCACTTAACTTACACCCGATTCATTAGGATATGGTTAAAGTGTTAAATTTTTTAAAAAGTGTAACTAATATATATATATGAATATAAGGAAAAATAATAATTATTAATACATGTATATTTATATGCTATTTAGATATGTTCATAAGTATTCATTATACACCCATTAAAAATTCCTCACTTAAAAGTAGGATTGTTGCACCAGTCTTGCTTGATTAAGGTTTTATTTCGGACATTATTACCCCATGTATAAGTAGAGGTGCAAATGAGTCGAGTCGAATCGAGATTTACCCTAATCAAGTCGAAATTCAATTTAGTTTTATAAAATTCGAATTCGAACTCGTGTTCAACGATCTCAAAATGTAAAGTTTGATCTCGATTTCAACTCAAATTCGAGTCGAGTTTGTGATTAAAAAACTAAAAAATATTTATTTTATTTAAAAAATAATTAAAATAATATTTTTTCTTAATAAATAATAAAATAATATGAATATATATGTAATTTTACTATTAAAATAATATATATATATATATATATATATAATCGAGTCAGCTTACGAGTCAACAAGCTGAATATCTTTAAACTCGAATTCGAGTTCGAGTTCAACTTGTTCAGCTCGAACTCGATGTTAACCGAAATCTAGTCGAGTTCGAATTCGAATTGCTCACGATCGGCTCGATTCGTTTGCAACCCTAGTTTCATTTTTTTCTAAATTTTCCTATGTTATGCAGTAGCGAAAACACTGATTTCATTAGATTTTTTTTCCCTAATGCATATTGAGTGAGCACTCGTCAATACAATTAAATCGGTCTTACTCCACCATGTGAATGCGCACAATAACAATTGTTAATTTATCTTGCAACAACATCTGAACTCTATCTTAATCTCTCTTTAGAAAGACTCGTTACGCAATCAGGACGTCTATACTAAAATGTACTACTAGAGATCGAATCGTGAAATTAATTTCTTTAGGATGACAATGATTAGTTCCTCAGTAGAACGAATCTGGTTGATTGCACCATTATTGACCTTCCGTCAATTAGCCATAGTTACTTATTCCGTGATGAATATGATGGCTGCGTGCACTGACCGATCGAACTCGACGCAGCCCTTTCGTTTTTACCCCGTGAGTGCAACAGGATAATTCCCGTTACCAGAAATAAGCCCATCTGGAATTTGTTGGTTTCCTGCATGGAACCGCCCCTTTCTGCCACCGTCACATTATCGGAGGCTCCAAGTCCAACCCATATTGGTTTCTCGACAGAAGACACAAGCAATGGGCGAGGAAATGAAATTTCAAAAGGTTCATAGAAGAAAAGCTATTGGGTTTTGGGGGCCAATAGATAGCATTATTCTTCATCTTTTTCGTTCATCTCACAAACCCAACTCCAGTTGTTCGCTTGGGTTTCAAACAATGAATCCACATTGTAGAATTGCACCTAATATTGGAGTTGTCCACCTGAAGCGAAACACTAACTTTGGGCCGATGAAAGAGTCCAGCAGATTAGATGGCTGAAAGCCCTCCAAATTGTTGGTAACTATTACGCGCTAAAGGCAAGAACAGCAATGGGATGACGGATTTCACTAATTTAACAAATTTAGTTCCTTAATTATTCAAAGACCCAAAATATTTGTCTATTCCACTAGATTCTACCTATTGCCCGACTCCCGGTATCTCTTTTCTCCTTTCCCCTGATGTAATCCATCTGGTCGCTCGACGTTGGCAGTGAAAACCAATCTTTAGTTATTATTACAAGAAAAATTTTCATATCCAATAAGCAATTGAATCAACTTACGGGAAAGCCAACCCAATTGTCCCTTTAATCATCACCATAGTTGCTTAAACTTCTATATCCAGTACATGTCTAAATAATTGACTACTATTTTCAAAAAATAAAAAAAATGGGAAGATGCAAGTTAACCATTAAAGAGCGTAGCTCTGGTTACGAGGGACATAATCACCTAGAGAAGATAATTAATTTGGGATTTGGGGGCAAATTAAGGATGGCCAAGAAAGGAGGAAAGGAAGGTGACGACCAAATGGGTGAGATAGAGATATGGATGAAGAGGATTAAGGAGAATGCAATTGGAGCAGAGCTGAGATCGATGGGGCAAAGAATTATAGAGCTGGAAAGATGCAAAATGTAAAAGAAAAGGGCAAAGAAAAGAGAATGTGAAATAAGATGATTGTTCCCCTACAAACACAGTAGTCCGTGGGCGTGCACCCAAATTACAAAGTGTGTGAGACAGAAGATCCGTTGCGGTTACATACGGACCTGATGCTCTTCATGAAAATCAAGGTTCCTTTTATCTGCATGTCGTGTTCAAAAAGTTCATTGTTCGTCTTACAAAACAGAAACTGTCAGTGGCAGAGGTAAGATAAAATACGAAATTTTCTTTTAACCAAGAAAAATTTGTTTAGCTATTCAATATATGGAATGTAGAATCTCTTAAAGACTGAAGTTTCAACATGAAAGAGAGAGCTTTCAACTTTTAAGAAGAAAACAGTCAAACAGGGAGAAATGCCCAAGTGAAAATGGTTGTCCTTCTCGTATGGTTAAACCATCTTTTTATTCTCCCTCTCTCAGAGGTCCAGGCATTGTAAAATTCGTCCATTACATGACAGCCAATTGCTGCTCTGAATTGCCCCAGCAAAATTAATTCTCTACGTTGCTCTGGAGTAACAGCATTCATCATGAAGAACAATTATTTCGGTTCACAAGAAGAAAACAAACAAATACGGTCTGAAAATTAAGACTGGAGAGTGCAGGATTCCGAAGCTGGAGAGACAGAAAACTACACAGAGGAAGCGTTCTTTTTTCCCACGACCAACAGTCAAAATAAACTCTACTCATCTCTTCCCCACATCAGAATTGGAGGGTCGGGGGTCGGAAAAGGGCAGTGTTGATATAATGGGAGAGAGCACAAGAATCGTTGATAGAAAAATCTAACAAGAGTAAAAAGGACGAGGGACCTCTTCTTCTCTGCAATCTACGTACGTATAATAAATTTTTTTCCCCTTTCTTGCAGTGAAGTCCAAATTGGGTTCTGTTTGCCTTTGTTTCCGCTCATGAATTGGTTGTCCCAATCCATCATTTTCTCCAATAATTCAAGTGTCAACAATCAACATGCAAAGTAGTGTGCGACCTTTCCCCGCTACTTTTACACCTCCATCCCGATTAAGCTCTATCCGGACTCCGGAGTACAATATCTTTCTATCATTATATGTAACAAGTGGAAGCATGGTATTTTGATGTGTGTGTGTGTCTACATATATATATATATATATATATATATGCCATTTTGATTTGTGTTATTACCCAAATCTAACAATATAACGACGAATTCCACGTTAATCCGCCACTTAACATACCCCAACATTTTTATTTTCCTTCCAATTCACTTGGGGAGAGGAGGATTGGTATGATGACAAAGATACTAGTCTGCACTACCGCTGTGATTTTTCATCTTTTTCCCCCTCTAGGACTGTAATAACGTGCAATTTTCACATCAAAGCAAGTTGTGATCCATGACAGATGATCTTACCAACAAAACTTATTCCAACTGAGCATCATAATGCCTGTTTAGTCATTATCATGTTGGTGCTGGTATTCTATGATCACTGGCAAAATCGGGATGATGATCATGTTAGTTCATCTAACTACTACCTTTGATGCTGTCCACTCCATGGAGAAGCAGGTTTCCTTCTGGACCACTCGACAGAGGCACTGAGCTCTCTCCAGTCCTCAGTCCTCTGCCAACTGCCAATTTGCGAGTGGGGCATTGGGTCCCATCGTAAAGACTTAAACCAGCATGTGAGTTTTCCAGGAGATTCATTTGCTTCGGCCCTACACTCCTGCTGCTGCCATATAGTACCCCAAGTACCCATTTTTCTTTTCTTTTGCCTTGACCAGCTGTGGACTGTAAAATAGGTGAAGGGCCAGCCTTTCCCTTATTGTGGAGGGCTTTTTAAAGTTCTCTTTTGACAAATCAAAGTACAACTAATGGTGGCATAGACCCCAAGGAGAAACTGGGGATGGGGTTGGGCCAGCAGACTTTACTAGAGATTGTACAGCAGCGCAGAGAGAGCTAGAGTTCTTGATGGAGGGGCGGGATAGAAGTAAGAAGCCTCGTGCCATGTGAAAAGGTGAGAAGAATGAAGTCTTCCTGCTTACACAGCTCTCAACTTTACTTCATCTCCCATTTTAATAATTCTTCGTGCTATTCTTTCTTCATTACAATATTTAGATCCATCTTGATGAAATGAATATGTGTCTCCAACAAATAAAAAGGGCGTCTATTTAATCTTTTATCTGTCGTTGCCACAAAGTCCAATTTGTTTATGTCGGCCTCAAGCTCAGAGGATTGATGTGGCCCTTTCTTGTCTGAAGCTGAAAAGAACTCCTAAGCAGAAACACGCATGAACTGTGTCATTAAAAGGCGAAAGCGAAAGAAAGAAAAGGTAACGAACAGATAAACAACTAATATTTTGACAAAGTGCTTCTCCATTGGGAATGGAGCGATAGTTCTTAGTTATCATATCTACAACGATCATCCTCCAAAACCAAAAGAAAAACTGAACAGAATGGTTAATAGGACAAAGAGCATGATCAATACCCCTCTCAAACCATCCCATATAACTGATATTGAAAACATGTAACTGATGATTGAAAAAAAAAAAAAAATACTCATATCAGCTTTTTCAATTATGATTGTGCTGTAGTTGCAAGAGCCTAGAATATGCTCCATCAGGCCGGCTAATTAGCTCGCCGTGGCTGCCTTGTTCTACAATGCGTCCATCTTGCACGACTCCAATGCTATCTACCCCCCGTATGGTGGACAGCCGGTGTGCCACCAGGACAGTGGTTCGACCTCTCATTAGCCTTTCCAGTGCTTCTTGTAGGACGCATTCTGACTCGGCATCAAGAGCACTCGTGGCTTCATCCAGTAGTAGTATTGTTGGATCCTTTAGAACAGCCCGTGCAATAGCGATCCGTTGTTTCTGACCTCCTGAGAGTTGAACTCCTCTTTCACCTACTGGGGTTTTGTACCCTTCAGGTAATCCACTGACAAATGCGTGCATATTAGCGGCACGAGCAGCTTCAATTACTTCTGATTCTGTTGCACCATCTTTACCATAAGCAATGTTATCAAAAATGCTAGCAGCAAAGAGAGCTGGCTCTTGCTGTACCAACCCAATCTTTAGTCTCAAGGATTTCAAGTTCAACCTTTTAATGTCTTTCCCATCAATCATTACCTTCCCAAAGGTAGGATCGTAAAATCGCTCGATCAATGCTATCACAGAACTCTTTCCTGAGCCACTGGCCCCAACAAGTGCTTGGCTTTGGCCAGCACGAATCCTGAGGTTAAGGTCCTTAAACACATTGACGTCCGGTCTTGAAGGATATGCAAAATCAACATGCCGTAGTTCAATCTCACCACGGATTGATTCAACAGGTTCAGCATCAGGATCATCAGGGTCTATCCTTGTTGAGCGGTCAAGGATCATAAATACAGATCCAACAGCTTCACCGCCCCGAATTATCTCAGGGGCAAGGCTCACCGTTTCAGCAACTGAATTTGCTGTTATGACTAAAACCACGAACACCTTGATGACCTTCGAGAAGGTGGAGACACCTTTGCCTACAAGGTGGGAACCATACCACAGGATCAATGCTTCTGATGCAAAAAGAGCAAGTTGGGAAAGACCAAACAGAAGACCGGAGATTTGACTGCGTTTTAGGCTACGGAGTTGCGGAACACGGAGCTCTTGCGAAAACAGGGAAATAATCTTCTCTTGAGCATTGAATGCCGCAACAGTTCGAATGTTGCTTACTCCTTCACCGGCAATCATACTGGTCTTAGCATGTGCTTTTGCAGTGTCTCCAGCAAATCCTTTGAGTGATAGTTGCTGCTTAGTGTAACAAACATCAAATTAGACTATAAATTTTTTTTTATTAGAATAGTTTAGTTGATAGAACATAAATTGGACAGCTTTCGTAAAGTGGCTCTACAATTTTCTTACATGCATGCCATTGATGGCCAACATTGACCTGATTTAGTTCAGTGCTACAATAGTTTCTATTATGTATCATTTGAGCGTAGCATGTCAAAATCCCTTCTTGCCATCTCCATAGCTCAGACTACCAAATTTTAATAGGAGAAATTGATTCCTAAAGCTAAAGGTACCCAACTTTCAATAGCTGATGAGTAACCCAAGCAAAATGTGATTTCCAGAAAGCAGGAATAGAAATCACAAAAATTCAGAGACGTTCAGGAGAAGCAGCGAATCTTTACTGTTCGAGTAACATGCGCGAATTTAAGCAGGCAAATGGTAACCATGGAACGCCCATGAATGACTGCTGCAAAGCATACGGTACTAGAAAGCGGGCCACAGCTTCAAAAGCTCTTTAATTGAGCTCAAAGAAAATCTGAAAGGACAGGCATGCAGAACAAAAACAAGGATGCTATCTTCCTCTTTTTTTCCTCCGTGTCGGTTATGCAGGCAGCTAAAGACGCTAGTCCTCTAGACCTGATATGGCCTTGCACTACGATTCCTGACACCCTCTGGACGTTAAATACAAATTATCCCGTGAAAGGCTAACCAGGAAATAGAAACGGGCCTCCTTAAAATGTCTCAAAACCCCTTTTTTTTTTTTTTTTTCTTTTGGTGGAAAAATATCTCAAAACTTAAATGATATTAATAACGGACGCAAAAGGCGATTAATCCTCGTATCAGCCATATGCTGAATGGCCCCTTCCTCGTTTCAACCTTCACTTCTTCTCAAAACTTCGGTCGTGGCGTGACTCTAACAGAGATTGGTGAAGAAAGAAAAGAAGAAAGCGGACAACCTAAAGATTTGAGTGGGATCACAAGAGGTAGCAAAGTCCATGGCCTCGAGAAGCGAATCGAAAAAGACAGAAGACTTACTGATGATGCATCGAAAGTGGGGTGCTGGGTTGAAACAAGATAGAATCTGGATATTATTGTCATTCTTGGATTGGCCAACTATAATCGCAGCATGGTTGTTGATTATTTTGTTGCTAGCGTTTCTGAATTTTTTTTTATTATTATTTTGTGTGTGTGTGTGCGCGTTCGTGAATTTGGAAGCGTTAATGCACCAGAATTAGAGGAAGCACGTGCCATCCTACCCAGCAAATTGCCCCGTCGTTTTCAGTTTTCAAGCTCTTGTCCTTTAATGATAAAAAGAAGAAAAAAGGTGAGATTGGATTCTACAGATTCCCACAGCTACTAACATCCGACAAAACCATGAGATTATACATCGTTATCTTTTTATCCCCAATCTTATTCCGAGATGCCTTGACGGGCACGGGCCTTCGAAAGTTAGGTGAATCCTTTAATTGCCCTACGCTGTTTCTTCGATTAGATATTCCACCTAAAACAAGAACCATGGTATAGCTCCCACAGTCTTTACACCTAAATCAAAACCTCGGATCCCTGGATAGAAAACCAATGAATGCCACCACACACACACACACGCAGAGGGACATTAACGAATGTGGAATTGATTTACCTGAGCAAAGTTGGCAAGGACCAGAAGTGGGAAGGTGGCCAGGATAAGCAGTGAGACCCTCCATTCCACTATGAAGGCAACCATAAACGACGTGAGCAGTGACGTCATATTCTGCAGGATCACCGAAATCCTCTCAGCAATGGCGGATTTTACATCTGCTGCATCGGTGGCTAAGCGGGCTGCCAATAGGTTTGAATTATGTTCCTCCTCATCGAACCATCCAACTTCATTCCTCAAGATTGCTGACGTGTTTTGAGAGAGAATTAATGAGTAAAATGATATTCAAGGCCTCCGTGAGAGATGAAATCAATACATTAACGTTTCTTAAACAGGTTATATACAAGACTCGGTCGTATTAGGAATGATTTCATAATTTACCTGCAAGCATCATCCTCCGCACTCTTGTAGTGAGGTTCTCCCCCATGATACTGAAGAAGTAATGCTGTATCAAATATGCAACAACAGCATAAAGACCAGCTCCAATGTAAATGAAAACATACTCCTTCGTTTTCCTTTCCATGCTAGCAGGATTTCTGTAGTAGAAAACCTCAATCATATTGCCCATCACAATGGCAAATGTTGGACCAATGAATCCTGACAGAATGGATCCTACAGCCCCCATTATTGAATAAGGCCATTCAGGAGCATTCAGCTTAAGAAGCCTGCAGAAGTACCCGTGTGGTGCTGGATTTTTCCTATCTGTTTCAGCATTTGATACCATCTCTATTCGACCGTCAGCCCCAGTGCTGTACTGATAGCTCAAATTCCTCAAACTGCCAGAGCGGAGGCTTAACGACTTTGTTGACAACGAGTGGCTTAACCTGGTGGAGCGAGACCGACGGGTTGATGGATTCGAAAAGTCTCTGTTGCCCACCATTTCCTGGAACCTAATTAATGAACCATATGCCCCAGCTTTGGCAACTAGTTCTTCATGTGTTCCAGTTTCTACAACCTGGCCTTGCTGTATAACTGCAATAGAATCAACATTTCTTATGGTGGAGAGGCGATGGGCAACGACAACAGTCGTCCTTCCAACCATGAGACGGTCCAAAGCTTCCTGAACAATGCTCTCTGAACCCGCGTCCAGGGCACTTGTTGCTTCATCAAGCAGCAGGATCTTGGGGTTCTTCAACATAGCTCTGGCAATTGCTATTCTCTGCTTTTGACCACCAGAAAGTTGGATGCCACGCTCTCCCACCTACATTTTAAGGATACTTTCACAAACTAAAAATTAAAGAATAATGAACTTAAATTTGTTGAACATGAGGCAATTTTCATATGGCTGATTTTCTTCTTCTATTTCTTTTGTGCTTTTAGCACAAGTTGAAATAGGTTTATCAACGCTGGTTGATGAATCATATTTGTATGTTTATCAAATACCAGGAGAATTTGGATAGAGTTGTATGTGACTTTCAACCTGAGTGTTGTACCCATTAGGAAGCAAGGTAATAAAGCTATGAGCATTTGCAGCAGTTGCAGCAGCCTCCACCTCAGCCATTGTTGCTTCAGGCTTTCCATAGAGAATGTTTTCAAGTATGGTGGTAGCAAAGAGTGCAGGTTCTTGGTTCACCAAACCAATTTGATCCCGCAACCATCTCAATTGCAGCGTCTTTATATCCACATTGTCCAGCAAAATTTGTCCTGCCAGATGACCAATGAACTAAGTACAACTGCATTTTAAAATAGCACGATTGGTCAAAACCTTGCATGACATAATCTATTGATTACCCTGATTAGGATCGTAGAACCTTTCTATCAGGGAGACTACAGTGCTCTTTCCTGAACCACTACCACCGACAACAGCCACCGTCTTTCCAGCAGGGAAGAAAATAGAGAAATCTCTGAAAATCATGACATCAGGTCTTGATGGATAGCTAAAGGTTACATTTTTGAATTCAATATTCCCGTTGACCTCAGCCAAGCACTTCCCATCAGAAGGATCTTGCAATATTGTTGGTTTTTGTTTCATAATCTCCATTAATTTGTATCCAGCTGCTTTACCTTTGCTGAATGCCCCTAGGTTGGAAAACGACTGACCCAAACTCCTGAAAATTTAATTAAGCATTTGGTTATTGATGATTTTACTCGATTATACTAATTCCAGGTATTAGACATTTTAATTTAAGATCTTACATTCCCCCAACAATAGCAGAAAAAATAGCAGTGAATGCCTTTCCCCCATCAGTCTGTCCATTCCTGATAAAAACACCAGCATACCAAAACACCAGGGCCCATGACATGCATGCTATTCCATAGGTGCATCCCAATCCAAGGCCTTTGGCCATTCCTGCCTTGTACCCGAGTTTCAAAGTATTCTGTATTGCATCTGAATAAGAATTGAGAGCCTTACTCTCGCCAACATATGAGTAAACCGTCCTAACTTGTGCAATGGCCTACGCAAATGGCGAATCAGTTAGAAGATACTAGCATAAAGCAACTATAGTCATGTATGTGACCAATCCAACTAATTCACCCGTCAAGTATATGGTAAAAGTATTTAAAAAGTGAAACTAAGCTTTTTCATTAAATGCTAAAAAGCAAAACCAGCAAAAAGGGGCATTGATTATTAAGATAGTTGTCAAATTTAGTCATTTATACTGCTTGACGTTAGCTAAACTGAGCTGGGTTAAAATGAATAAATTACAGAAGCTAAGTACGTCACGCTCAGTGTAGATAAAGCTTTAAAGGTAAAAGCCAATTGCCAACTAAGGGAAAAAGCTATAATTATTAAATTAAGGAAAGGTCAACAAACTTTTTGATAGCAGCACATGTAAGATCATTATTCCTCTACAACAGTGATTTAACTACTATTATGGCTAAAGATAAGATGAGGGACCAATACAAAAACCAAACTATCAAAGGGAGCATAAAGAAAAATGTACAAAATTAATTCAGAAGGAGGCAGGAGATAATTAAATCCTACAAGATGTTCAGAGGCCAAAGGCGGGAAGCTGGCTCACCTGTTCTGCAATTATACCGGCATTGGCATAAGATTCGCGACTCTTGGATGTTAGACCTGTGAGCGTGTATGCATACAAACCCCCAGCAAAAGCAATTCCGGGGATCACAGCCACACTCAGCAGAGCTAGCCTCCATGCTGACACAAAACCAACCACCAAACCAGCCAAAAATGTGGAAAGATAATGGATGAAATTTCCCACCTGAAAAATCCCAAATGCAGAAACATAATTACAGAAATCAAGACCGTCTCTTTCGACACGACAATTGATAGCACAATCATTAAAGCGAATTTCGAATTATAGCCATGCATAAATATTTTATGTTACATAAACAGGAACATGGATGATGATTATTGGGCATGCTCGCTGTTCTTAATGGCTTTCAACTCCCCCTGAGTGGATGCCGAAGATGAAGGGAGCAGCATCGAGGAGAGGCGCTACCATGCGCCAGCAAAAGGTAAGAATGAAATTAATTTCTGGGAAGGGTCCCGCATTAATTGAGAACCAACAACCCATCGATCACACCATCCATGTATCCCTCTTTAATGCGAGTGCAACACATGAGTGCAATACTAGATTACACCGTTACTAAAAGACAGAGGGAGAAGAAATAAATGAGAAAAGAGAGAAATTGATAATAATAATTAAAAAAAAAAAAAAGAACCTTCTCACTGATGGCATCTTGGACAAGAAGGGTATCCGTTGAGACGCTGAAAACAATATCTCCAGTCCTAGCATCTGTATCGAAAAATCCAACGTCCTGTTTCAACACCGCCTCCAAATACTTCCTCCTTAATGCTCCAGCTTGCCTCTCCCCACTATGCATCCAGCAAGCAATCTCTGTTTAATGCATAAGTATTTTTCACCACGCCATTAGAATTTGGCCATCAAGCTAATTAATTAGTATTTACTACTACCGCTACTGAGCTTAGCTTAATCACCAGCTAAAATAGAATTAGACGTATACTGCTAATCAGTAACTCGAATTCGTGAAGATGGCCGTACTAAGTTCCTTTTTTGACGATTGTTTTGTCCATATACTGCAGCCCCCCGGAAAACCAAGATTGAGAATTTTGATGTATCGCGCAGTGAAAGAGATGTGAGAGATAGTGGGATAATACTATAAAAATAGAGTGACATTGAGGAAATGGACAAATGAGAGGGGAAAAAGACAGGGGACCGTCCACGGGCCACGTGCAAACCCAACTCCACGTTGATCCAAAATGACCTGGCTGGCTGGCTCACTACTAGTTGTACTCTACTCACTTATTTTTATGCTGCTACTGCCCAAAATACCACCCCACGGCCACGACTACGATTACGCGAAACTCAAAAAACTTTTTGCATCTGCAAATGTGCTTGTAGAATTGTTGTACAGCAATAATTTTTTTTTTCCTTTTTGTTTCAAGAAAATTATTAGTAATTTCAACAAAGAGAAGAAAAGGCATGAGAATTTGGAAAAAAAGGACTAGTATGAAGCAGCTTTACCGGCGTAGGATGAAAAGCACACAATCAATCCAAGGTAGATGAAGTAGAGAGCGTACTGCAACGTTCAAAAACCAAGCGATTTAGATCTCATAATAGTAGTAGTAGTAGTAGTATTAAGCAACATCCCCCAAAACAAAAAATAATAATAATTTAAAAAAGAAAGAACTTGTAGGAGTGGGAGGAGATTGGGGAACCTTGGCGACTTCATGGATCATTTTATGTAAATCAGTTTGGTTTTTGCCGAAACCATTGACCATCTCGCCGAACAACAGGAAGAAAACCGGCATGGAGGAGCCGTGTACAACGGCTCCGAGGCTCCCAGTGATCATCAAAAGCCAATCATACTTGTCTGCGAAGGAGAACAGCTGATAGAATGGTAGACTCTGCTCCTTCTTCTTCTCCGCCTCAGGCATTGCCGCTATCGCTTCACTATTCTCAGCCATTGCTTGTACAGAAACCAAAAGAACACCCCTCTAAAAGTCTTGAGAAGTTTTAAAGCTCTCAACAACCCACCACTCAGTGAGTGAGTCAGTCAGTCAGTCACCAGTTGAGAAGGAAGAATCGTCTATACCAGCTGCTGGGAGGTAAATGGGTGGTGATCATGGTGAGACTGGTTTACCACCATGTTAAGAAATCAAAAGAAGAAGAAGAAGAAGAAGTACAGTGCAATGGATGAAGAAACGTGACTCAGAGATCTGAAAGAGGGAGAGAAGAGGAGATGGCTTTGTTTGTATCGTACTATAGTAGAGGGATTTTTTTTTTCCCCTTTTAATTTTCTTCAATGCAGAGAGCCAGGAAGAACTGACAAGCTGTCGGTCACGTATTCTTTCAAGAGGTGATAGATAGAATGAGCGAGCGAGTATTAACTAAGCAGCCGCACCAGACCGACCAAGGGATAGAGAAATAAAGCTTGGGTTCGCCGGAAAGAGGAAGTGATGGCCACCTGAGTCCTGAGCGGGGAGGGGCTGGAAGTAGAATTTAGTAAGACTAGCAGTCAAAGGAGGAAGTGGTATTGGTGGTGGGTATAGGGAAGATGGGGAAATGGTGGAGGCACACGAGAGACTTGGGGGTCGCGCTTTACAACTTTACTTATAGTCATTGAGGAGGAGACTGCAGTAAAGAGACGCTTAACCGGGGGTTAAAATTTTGCGTTTGGTCCCGGTTTTTTTTTCTTTGGGGTCAGGGTTGGTTAACTCGAATCTGACCCTTCATTTTTTATTTTTTATTTTTTAAAATCTCTACTTCCGCTGCTTTGAGCACTGTGCTCTCTGCCAAACTCTGTACCACTCTATGCAGTACCCAATTTATTTATTTATTTTTCATGTTTATTGTTCTTGCCCAGTTGGAAATTGGAATTCAACGAGGAGTAGAAAGTTGAATTCGCAACTGCTGTACATATTATCTTCATCCCTTTTTATTTTAAGGAACTGTACATATTATCACTATCAGTAATTATAGATGTTTTCTATATTGAAGTACTATTATATTTGAGTTTGTTTTAACTTAAAACATGTTTGATAATTCAGTTCATCACTTAAATTTAATGGATTCAGATCTTAACATAGTTAGACTATTTAATAACTAAAAATTGAATATCTGAATTAATTAAGTGACACTGAATTTTCTAAACAAAACTTATTCCCAAAATTAAGTAATAAACTATTCACTTATCATTGAATGTGGTATGCACTCAAAATGTATTATATTTAATATTTAACAATTTAATAACTTAATGAATTCAAATTTCAAATTTCAGATTTCAAATTTCATTTTTATGAAACGCACCCTTAGTGTTCATTCCATTATTCATGTGTCATTAATCGTTATTTGATACTAATACTATTGTTATTCATACCCTGGATATGTTGATTTCACCATAAAACTACTGTACATTGATTGCAATCACATTAAAAAATTAATCATATTAGAAAATTGTACTAATTATTCCATTTAAATGCATATTATTATCTTAGATAGTGTCCAATATTGTGCTCCCTTTCCAAGTTCCAGATTAATGGTTTAGAATAATGCGGTTGACCTCTAAAGGAAATGCAAATAAGTTAGATCATAACAAAATAACTTACTTACAAAGTGAGATTTTACAGTGCAACATACTAGTGATGAGGGAGGCCAATATTGAGATTTTTTTTTGTCGTCTCTTTTACAAAGTTAAGAATTGATACTAAATTTCTTCTCTAAATAAAATAAATTGTGAAGATATTGATGGTATTTCTGGGGAATTTAAAAAAAAATCTATTGATATCGACACCAGAGCTAAAAAGAAAAGGTCATGTATGAGAAAATTGGTAATTATCTGTTAGGTACAAGCGATACGATAAGTGCTTTCAAAGGGAGAAAAAACAAAAGAAATGTTAATTTTTTTTTCCCTTGAAGCTAAATAGAAATGTTACTTTGGTACAATTAAGACCAAGGCCCAAAGTTTCCCAAAAAAAATTTTAAGAGCAAGGCCCGTATTTTCATTACAATTTATCGCCCCGATGATACTTCCGGGACATTCAGATTCAATAAAAGTGGAACCGCACAATGATCATTGTGAAACCCTTCTCTCTCTCTTTTTTTCCTTAATTTATTGAGTAAGTTATCACGGCCTTCTTCTGCTGTAAAATTGTTTTAAATGCTTTTAAATGATAGGGGATTTTATGACCCTTGAATAAACTATAAGGAGATTTTCTATAATTTACACCAGAAGAAAACTAACAAGTGAGTCCAAGACCCCTGCCTTTTTTTCCCAAAACAAAAAAGGGGCTTCCCCCTCCAAGACCAGGGGTGTGTGAACTGGGCTAAAGCAAACAGCTGGACTTTGATGGTAAATTTTCTTTTTTTTTTTGGGAAAACATTCTCAAAACAATCAAGAAATACTCGTTTGACAGCAAAATGTACAAGTGGTTTTCTTCGTTTAATTAAATTTTTTTTAATGAAAACTCAAAAGCATTCTCTATTTATTTAATTAAATATTTACTAAGCCATACACTTTCATGATTAAACTTTTTTTTTTGTTTTAGGTTTTCGTGATTAAACTTCTTCTCTGTTGTAATGATTGTCTTTTCAAAATCCTCCTCATAGTACCCATATTCGGAAAAGGTTAGATTATTTTCCATTATTGCTAGCTGTACTATTACATTGCTGTTTCGTTATAGCTATTATTAGTGACTTGTCAAATGATGTGTAGTTTTAACTTTAATAAATTCGATTTCATTATAATAAATATACAAACTAACCTAAAAGCAATATATTATGATCATCCAAAATACCCGAAAGAATATAAAACACACGCACACACATATATATTTATGTATATTGTCCCTGTTGAAGACTTAATTTTCTGAAAGGCCCCTTCATTCAAATTGATTTCTACTTTTACCCCCCTGTCCACATGAGTTATTTGCATTGGCCAATTGTTCGTGCTCTTGTAGGGATGAGGGGCATCTAAACTACAATTGCAATTGTCGAATGGAGCCCATGCTTTGCGCTGGGTCTTTTTTCCCCCCTCTTTTTTTGCCTTATAACGCAATAGTATTTTTGAGTTTTGTCCAGAAGTACATGTCAGATTGTTGTTGTTTCTACTTTCTACACCATTGTGCATGTATGCATTACCGGTGTTTATGTGCACGTTACCATTTTGGTTCTAACATCACGCTCTGCATTTAAGGTAGCTACACATAGATTGCTATATATGTTTAGAATTTAGAAGAGATTGAGATTTTTATACAATTGTATGGTGCAATTGAAATTGGCAATAATGAAAGCTTCTAAACCTTTTAAAAGTATCGTAAGATGTTAAATTCGGCTAAAGCAGCAATCAAATAAAGGGAGGCTCCTTTAAAGATTTATGCATATATTTGGAAATGTTTGGATAGTAGATTATTTTTGGATATTTTTTTATTAAAAAAATAACGTAACATTTTTTTATACATGTATTACCATTACATGCGTCACCAATGTATCAGCACTTACTTAGGATGTGGTATGCCATGTGAATTCGACATATAATTCATCAATTACAGCTAAATTATACTTAAGGTGCGTTTGATAAAATTGAAATATGAATCCATAAGTTATTGAATTGTTAAGTATTAAATCTAATACATTTGAGTGTATATTACATTCCGTGATAAATGAATAGCTTATCACTGAATTTTGAGAGTAAATTTTGCATAAAAAATTCGTTGCCACTTAATTAATTCAGATGTTCAATTTTTGTTATCAAACGATTTGAATATGTTAAAATCTAAATCTATTAAATTTAAGTGCTGAACTAGGTTATCAAACAGAACATTAGTCAAATAAATACTTACATAAAATTAGACTAAATTTGCCACGTTTGAGATTTAAACTCAAGACCCGATCAACATATATATAGATATGTATATTACTTTTTAAGGTATGAAAACTAACTTTTAGGGAAAGATATTCGAATCAATGTGCTGAATAACGGCATTGCTTTGTCATGCACAACGTTTTTCTTTAAACCTATAGTTGATGTGTACGTATCATTCACTTTTGTTATTGAACTATGAATTGTTGCTCTGGTAGACGAACAATGGACCCTCGTACGCAACGACGCGAGTCAAGAGGTAGAAAGTATTTTGTTTTGTCTGCCCAAATCCCAGCCGTATTCTTATCCCGCACCAATGCTGAATATGAAAAAAAGGAGCCAATCCTCCGCAAGCAACCTCCCGAAGTTAATAAATTTTGAGACACCGAAGAGATATCCCATCTGTTTTAGATTTGGATGATGCCAAACAATCAATCAACGGAGAATATTATTATTAGCCTGTTAATTTCATGCAGAGACGTGAATCAAGATAACACCATTTGTTATGTTTTGGGGCGGTGGGGGTGGTTGAGGTGGCTAAATCAAGCAGGCATTTTGGGCTCCTGTCCCTTCCAATATCCATCCCAACTTCGATACATCTTTTTCATCGCGAAAGAGAAAGAGAGATGTGAGTGCCGAATCTACCATGTGCATCCAAAACCCATCTACTCAGGCTTGGTGACCTCTGCCTGGTGGTTCCACTCAATTAATTCTTCCCGCTTTATCATTTGGCTATTTACATTCTCATGCTTTCATTTCATGTCTCCGACGAGGCTTAGCTACCAATTAGTCTCACCTTCTAAATACTACCAAACAAACGGGGGAAAAAATCGCAACGGATCTTCTGTTTCATATCCTGTGTCACTCTCTGTTCCACGTTTTATTATATTACTATTTCTCCTATATAAACATCATATTTTAGTTTTTTTTTGTTTTCTTAAGATTCAATAACTATTAATTGAATAAAAAATAAATACAGCAGCTTAAAAAAAGCAATATATAATAGAAAATTAAAAAATACAGTAGAACATTCTTAAAAAATCTCATTTTTTATGCATTTTGATTTTTTGAGTTTGTTAAATTTTGTGTATAACTCAATTAATAGTTATTGAATCTTAAGGAAAAAAAAAAACTAAAACATGATGTTTATGTAGAAAAAATAGCAATATAATAAAAAGTGGGACAGAGAGTGGCACAGGGTGTGGGATAGAAGATCTGTTGCGGAAAAAAATCCCCTTTTTTTTTTTCCCTGGGTACAAATAAACAGAGAGAGTTTTCTCCTCCATAATTGTCAGGCAGAAATGTTGGTCCAAAAGAAATAGGCTTTCATTCCATGGAAGCATTTTTTTGCTCATGTGATCCATCACGAACTAGCAAATTTGCCCGTGTGATCCATTTGTTTCCTTCAGTAAAATCTCCTTTTTTTTTTTCCCTTCTGGAAT